ATGCTATACGTACAACCAAAAAAAGATTCTGTATTTCCATAAGTGGGGTAAAACTATGGAATAATTTAAGCGTGGACATAAAAAATAGTAATAGAATTGATGAGTTTAAACATAAATATAAAGGTATGTGTCAATCAAGATATGGGCAAGAACAGGCTTAACGATTAATCAGGTGGAACATTGTGGGTGTGGTGTATGAATGTTAATAATCTGTAATAATTCTTTAATATATTACTTGTGTGGTGTAGAAGATAAGTATTTAAGAATGTAATTATGTACAAATGTTAACACTCTGTTATAATTCTTTAGTATATTACTTGTGTGGTGTAGAAGATAATTATCTAAGAATGTAATTATGTAAGAATGTTAACAATCTGTAATAATTTTTTTGTATATTACTTGTGTGGTGTAGAAGATAATTATCTAAGAATGTAATTATGTAAGAATGTTAACAATCTGTAATAATTTTTTTGTATATTACTTGTGTGGTGTAGAACAAAATTATCTATGTAGAGATACTGCTTGCAAACCAATGATGGTAAGATGATGTTATGGGGTAGGACTGGATAAGTCTAACTTCTTCCTACTCCATTCAAGCATGTACTAGCTATAAGCAAATTGATAATGGATTAGCATTTGTGGATATGTGTGAAATTATGTGTGTTGACATATCGACTGTCTTTACATGCTTGAAAGAATCAAATCAAATCAAATCAAATCAAATCACTGTTAACTCAAAGCAAGAATGTTCTAGTTTTGAGCCTGCTGTCTAACTGGAACCTTTCTGTGTTGAGTATTGCATGTTCTTCCTGTGGGTTTTCTCCAGGTATGCCAGCTTCCTTCCAGTCCAAATACATGCAGGTTCAGTTGACTGATGACTCTAAATTGCCAGTAGGTGTGAATATGAGTGTGAATGGTTATTTCAGTGTGTCAGCCCTTAGCTACAGTAAACTGGTGAACTGTCCAGAGTGTATCCCATCTCGCAATTAATGTCAGCTGGGATCTGCTCCAACACCCCTGCAGCAATCTACAGGATAACCAAGCAGCTTTAAGATGTGACCTCACATCATGGTGATTTTATGGAGTCAGATGTGTTTTAAAGGCAGAAAGGAATATGGTCAGTCCATGACTGTCATTTTCTTTTCTATTTGAACACCTTTGATAGGGGTAACTGTGGCTCAGGAAGTAGAGCAGTTGTGCAATTCCCGTTTTCCCCTGTCCATAGGTCAAAATGTCATTTGGCAAGACACTAAACCCCAAGTTGTTCCTGATGGCCAGAGCAGGACCTTGCAGGGACAGCACTGCCGGGTGTTTGTGTGTGAGATGGCTGCCTCAGTTCTGTGCTGGAGACAAATTCCTTGACCTACTTGGCCAATGAAAGTGATTATCATTATTAGGTAAAATCCCAACGAGTGTGACCTTGACCTCAGGTCAACTTGTTCAGGACATATTTCTTTGGAACAGATGCTGCTCTCCTAACTGCAGAGCTTTGAGCTGTAGAGATTAAACTGATTTTAATCATACTGCACTGTCGGTGCATAAGGAACAGGAAAAAGTATCTATATCCATACTGTACTGAATACACATAATGGTCTCCTAGTCTCTGAGCTTCATCGCAATTTTCTCTGAGCTGTTAAAGGAAAGGTCAGAGGGTCAACAAATCCACTCATCCATTTTTTACGTTTATGTCTTATGATTGGCTCCAGCCTTAAAATCCTCCTAACCGTAAAAGCCATTAATGACAAGGCTCCATTGTATCTTAAAGACCTCATAGTGTTATGGTGTTGCTTCACTTCCTGGTTTTAGAGCTTTTATTTTGGTTAAGTCTTCCTGCCCCATATCACCTCACCTGCCCTAGCTTTACCCTAGTACACATCACCGTTCATTGTTTGCACCTGTTGGCTCATTATCTCCCGGTTTACAGCCCTTATATACCACCTCCTTTCCCTCAGCCACTCTCTGGTCCATTGGCGTTTTTGACAAAGCTGACAATATTCACAATGCTCAACCTGTTAATTCTGTTAACTCTGTTAATTCCATTCACTCTGTTCACCACGCTTGTTTCCCTGTCTGTTCACCGGTACTGTTCCTTGGTGTTGTGTGAGTTTCTGAATCTCCAGTGATGCTGTCATTGCACCTGTCCTGCATAACCTGCTGTGTGTTCCTGACTTGTCAGCAACACTGTCAACACTCCTGCCTTATCCTATTGACCTGTTTGTTCCTGATGCTTCAGCGACGTGGTCGCCACCTTTGCGCAGCTCAATTTACCTGTGAGTTCCTGATTCTCCAGCAAGGCTGTCACCACTCCTGTCCCACAATACCTGCCTGTGTTTTCCTGATTACCCAAAGACGTCGACTCAGCTCCTGTCTGCTTGACTCACAAGCTGAACTTACTTGCATTTTCCTTGTCACTGTCTACGACTACATCTCATCTGCCAGCTCCACTAACCTGTGTGCTTCTGGCTTCT